TGTGGAAACAATTTTCAAAATTTACTACTCTGTAGCAGTTCTTTCAATAAGGAAATAATCTGTCTACTCAAACACCATTTTCTGCATTCTTTGCCAGGACTGATGTAGTTCCCTGTGTTCTCCAAAAAGACACTGAGATCTCATATTTTGCTGTGAAAGCTGCTCTGAAGAAAAATGTGGTTGCTAAGGAAATAAATCTTGAGGAAATCAATGCTGAAAGAACAGGAATTTTCTGCTGCCAAGGTAGATGTTAAATCCTGTGTGTTGTGTGTAGCATGTGCTCTTTTTAACATGAGTCATGTGGTATGTTATTGTTGGTTGTGGATAGTCTTTTAAAAAGAAAACCAACAAAAAAAAAAGTGTAAGACTTAAGCAATCAGTGCAGCCGTGCCAGGTTTACCAGTGAAGAAAAGTGAAAGATTATGTGTTTAAAAAGTACAAGTACAGAGCTGTTTGTGATTTGGTTCTGATGGCTGGACATCTGCTGATGCTGGTATCTGAAGTCAGAGGCTGAATTCTAAAACCCCAATGCGTTACTCCTGGAAAATTGCTCATAAAGATTAATCTCAGTGATTCTAATGATGAGTGGTGTGGCTGCTTCTGCAATAAAACTATCTTCAGTGAGGAGGTGATAACCTTTGTTCATACGAAGAGCCCTTTCTTATGTTGGGAGAAAGGACACGACTTTCTGCAGGTATGACTAAAAAAAATTGTGTGATTATTTCTGAATTGGCGTATGTGACTTTTACAAAGAAAACTGGCTACAGACCCTTCATGTGACTTCTTAGTTCTTATTAAGAGTGCCTCCAGAGCTGATTTTTGGGCTGCTGACAATTGCTTTTGGGACATGTGCTGGAAATGGAAAAGTTGTGGGTAACTGCGCGCCTTCTTGAACTTAATCCTTGTACAGCAGAGGACAGAAACTCATGTGTAGAAGTTAGTACCTGCTATATAGATCCTCTTGCTTTTTTGTGATTTAAAATGGTATCTTGCTGTTGGTCCTCTGCCAGCAGGTAAACTCAAAGAGCCTTGGGTGGAATCTACCTCAATTCTCTTCCTAGAATTGATGTTGGTGCCAACCATTTGCAAATGTCTCAGCCTATTATCTCATTTCATATGCAGGTCGTATTTGAAGATGATCTTCTTTGTTTGTATGGATTAGAAGCTAAATTAACTCACTTTTCTAAAAAAAAAAATTATATTCTTCTGAAAACAGGAATTTTCTGCTCAGTATAATTATTATCTTCTCCTAGACAAATGAGCTTTTCTGATCCATATTGAGAGTATAACCTGTGGTGATGCAAGCTATTCACTGGAAATGCAGAATATGTTGAGGGAAAAGAGACATGACTAAACTTGCAAACCTGATTGCAGGAACACACAGAGCCAAGAGCTATTATTTGATGACCGTCGTTGGCCACGGTGCACAGGGCCTGGTCAAGTCACTGGGACCCTTCAATATGTTGAAATGTTCTGGCTTTCTACGTCAGTGTCTAACAATGACAAACATCAGGTGTTTTAGCTGCAAGAGGCGAAGACTGGGGTAGCTATGTAATTCTCTGTAAGAAAGAAACCTCATCTGTTGTTAAATTGATCTAAATTATGGGAAGAATTTTACAAAGCAAACTCATAAGTGATTTGTTATTTGTTGTTTCTTGCTATTTTTTTCTGTGATCCTGAATTCGGTCTGCATTGTTTTATTTTTTGACATCTGATGTGCAGATATTTCTGAGCTGTATATCTAGGATATGTAATTTCAGCAAATGGATTTCCACACTGCTTTTATTATCTGCAGTTCAGCACTTTCCACAAATGGAAGGCTGTTATTCTAGCCAGTATTCTAGCCTTTCAAGCGGAACCAAATCAAACATGAGGAAAGTTTGGCATAGTGAGAAAGCTGGTTCTGTACTTAAATAATGCATTGGTACAGATGCAACTTTTCATCAAAAGAAGGAGAATTTGAGTTTTAATTGTTAGAACTTGTTTTAGCAGCTTTTGCTATTACATTTTAGCGTTTTTAATTTATAAAATGCTTACTACACAGAAATAAAGATGCAGAGGGAATATTTTAGAATACTCTACTGCTTTTTTCTGCTGCAGCATTCAGAACCATATTTGTTACACTATTACAGCATCCTCTTTCAGGTAGGAGAATGTGCACAAAGGCATGTGAAAATGTGACTTTGTGCTGTTTCTGTTTTTCTGGTGCCTTCTCTCATTCTCTCTGAGATTCTCTTCATCTTGTTCCAGATCATGTCTATACGGTGTCCCATCACAGAGGCTAGATACAGAGGCATATCCTCTCTGATCTTGAAGATGCTTTCTGAGTTATAATATTGGTACAAGAAATGTGTGAGGGAACAGATGCTAGCCAGAGGGACCTGGAAAGACTTGAGATGTGGGCCCATGCCAACTTCTTCAAGTTCAAGAAGACCAAGTGCAAGGTCCTGCACCTGTGTTGGGACAATCCTAAATACAGATACAGGTTGAACAGAGAATGGCTTGAGAGCAGCCCTGAGGGGAAGGATTTGAGGATGCTGGTTGACGGAAGAGGCAACGTGGGCTGGCTATGTGTGCTTGCAGCCCAGAAGGCCAACCGTGTCCTGGGTCACATCAAGAAAATTGTGACCTGCATGTCAGGGGATGTGATTTGCCCCTCTACTCCACTCTCATAAGACTCCACCTGGAGTATTGCATCCAGTTCTGGGGCCTCCAGCACAAACGGGACACTGAATTGTTGGAGCAGGTCCAGAGGAGGGCTGTGGTGATGATCAGAGGGAGGGAGAACCTCCCCTCTGAGGACAGGCTGAAAGAGCTGGGACTCCTCAGCCTCGAGAAGAAAAGACTCCATGGAGATCTTATAGTAGCCTTCCAGTACCTGAAGGGAGTCTACACGAAAACTGGGGATGGACTTTTGAAAGGGCAAGTAGTGACAGGACAGGGGGAAATGGTTTTAAACAAAGAGGGTAGATTTAGACTAGATTTTAGGAAGAAATTCTTTACCGTGATTTTGGTGAGACACTTGAACAGGTTGCCTAGCAAAGTTGTGGATGACCCCTCCCTAGAGCATTCAAAGTCAGGCTGGATGGGTTTTTGAGCAACCTGGTCTAGTGGCAGGTATCTCCAGCCTATAGCAGGGGATTGGAACTAGTTGATCTTAAAGATCCGTTCCAACCCAAACCATTCTATGAATTCATTCAGGAGTAAGTTGTTCATAGCACATTTTCTCTGTACAGAGGTACATCTCTGTCAATCTGAGTAAAAGTTCACCAGAGTAAACAAGGCAGTGTTGGTCATGTGGGTACAAGAGGTCTCCTGAGAGAAAATGTCTTTTTATTCCAAAGTGAACATGCTTGTTGTGATTCCCTTTGAATAGCATTACTGTCTTATTTTTCAGTTTCACCCCTTCCCCCCATTAATTTTCTTATGAAACAAGCAACTATTACCAAAAGATTCCTTTTCCCAAGACAAATTTATTAACTACAGATTACAGGAACAAAATAATAGAGAAATTTTCAACGGATGTATATAATTGCATTCTGTACGACGAGACACATAGACTTGGTGAAATTCACCATGATTCTTCCCTCTTTTTCTGCCCATTTGAGTTATTTGCCTCTATTTTCCAAAAGTGTTTATGTTGTTGTTTTTTTTTTTTTTTTTTTTTAATGAGATGATAATGAACTGAAACTGAAATAACACTGCACAATTTCTCAATTGAAAATTAAAAGCCCTTGGAGAGAAGTTTTAAAAACTTTCGGCCATCCCTCAGTATGCTCAAAAAAGGAATCAAGCATAATTATTTTAATTGAATATGTTATTTTTAACTGAACACACATGAATTTTTACAAAAATTTGGATACATTCAGAATTGTGAAAATTATGTCTTAAATGTTGGAAAATCTCATCTGGCTTGAAGAAGATCAGAGTTCTACAGGCATTATAAACTCCTCATGTTACAGAAGTAAGTTATCGTGGTGTTTTGCAGTAAAGCCTTGCACCACTCTCCCTTGTCATTGTGGCACACAAGCCTGAAGAGAGCAGTTAAATACAAGCGCAGTTGTACTGAGAGTGTTTGAGCTCTCTTCTACAAGTGTGTGATGACAAAGCAAGCTGATGCGCAGGAAAATATGAGATGCCCTCAGGACAGCTCTTCCTCTGTAAGGAGGACCTGGAGGCCTTACTGGCATATCAACCACATGGAAGTCGTTTCAGTCACCCTGGATGTGTTCAAGACCAGGTTGGATGGGGATTTGAGCAACTTAATCTAGTGGAAGGTGTTCTTGCCCATGGCAAGGGAGTTATAACAAGATGATCTCTAAGTCCCTTCCAACCCAAACCCAAATCATTCTATGATCAACATGCTTAAAAGTATTATGGCTGTTGTTTTTCAGATCACATCTGAAACTGAATCTGAAAATGACATTTTTCAGAGCACATCTGTGTTGCTAACTTATTCAGTCTAAAAGAAGAGAAAAAGAGGAAGAAAGGGGAACAGTTCTTCCTTTGGAAATTTTACTTAGAAATGAATTTTTTTTTTTTAAATTTGGTATAGTTTTCTTATTAAAATTTATTTTCTTTTTGTTTCAAATTTAAAAGATTCTGGAAATAAAATAAGTGATTTAGGTCAGCTATAAACTAAGTCTGACTTCTGGTTGTTGCATTTACATTTCTTATCTATGAAATACGCAAACAGTTGTGGATTTATTTTTTGTTTTCTGTCAAACTGAAGAATCTGTGAGCAGCACCTAACAACAAAAGAGATAAGCAGTGTAGAAAGAGCCACAGTAAAAGTAGGTTCTAATGCTAATAGCAGAGGCTGACTGTTCTGCACCAAGGAGTCACCTTTGGTTTTACAAGGTCTTCAGAAGGGAAATGCTTATACAGTGTAAACTCTGTGCTTTGATTTCAGTGTGGCGCTGGTTATATACACTCTGAAAATGCTGCCCAAGGTCAGTAACAATATTGACAGAATGAGCACTCGTTCAAAGTAAACATCAAAGACAAGTTAGCATTGCAGGCACAGTAATATTTAACACAAACAGTTAACAATATGGGTTGGTTTTTTTTTTGTTTTTTTTTTGTTTGTTTTTTTAAGAGGAACTTAAACCTTATCCATTCACACAGACTTGCTGTATGTTCAGGTATGTAATAATTATTGCGACTGATATTTTGAGGAAGGTTTTCATGGACACAAGGAAGTATATGTTGGTCTTTGTGGATTCTGTGGTGTGGTTGATTTATTTGATTCTTTCTCAGCTTAAATATAGCATGTTAAAAAAAAAAAAAAAAGATATATTTGAAATTTGTATAGTGTACACTGAAAGTAGTTTGTGTAAGCTATTTATTTGCTGTGTTGGTAATAGCACATACTTAACTACCAGCACAGAGTGGAGATTGATGATATTCTAATGGAATATTTTTCCCCTGTCTATGCAAGAATAAATATGCTGCTGTGAAACAGAGCAGAAATTCTCCAAGTGTTAATAAATTTATTGTTGGTTTTTTAAATTATTATTATTATTACTTTTTTTTTTTTTAGGATGATTTGGATTTATCAGACTTTTTATTTCATTTTCTTACTTGCTTCGGTTTACAGTGGTAAGTCAATACATAATTCCTAAGACTGGTATAGATTAACACAGGTCTTCTAGGAAGGAGCAGTTAAAAAGAGTAATATTCAAAATGATCTGAATATGTATTTGTATGCGGAGTGAAGTGGGTAGAGCGGCATGATTTTGGAAGGGGAACACACATTTGTACATGCAACCTGGTCCCAAGAGAGCGGGGTTGCACTCTGTTAAGTCTGGGTAACTCATAGGTGGGTGGAAGTTTTTAATTAATTTTTTGATTGCTATTATTAGGGATGGAAGTTTTTAATAGTTCTTTTTTTGGTGCTGAAGCCCGCAGTGACTGTGTTTTTCAATGTCAGTATGTGTTAATGGTTTACTTTGGCTAGCAGAAGTCAGCTACAAAAACTCACATTCCATTTCCCTGAAATTCCCTGCCCCAAATGATCATAACCAATGCCTAACAGAGTTTATGTTTAGCAATGTATTAACCATTCTCAGAGGACAATGAGATAATTAAGGCATTTTGTTGCTTTTTTTTAAGCAAAATCTGTTTGACAATTGTACTATTATTTCAGAAATATTTTACCTGGATAGAAATTTTAGTAGACTAAAATCTTAAAAAATTTCTGAGGCTCCAGATATTTTTCAAGTTCAAATTTCATATTAATAAAATATTAACTTAAAAAAAAACCTAGCGAATTTTACACACATTCCCAATAGTTCCTTATTTTGTCATTTTTTGTTGATACAGTTTACCTTTTTGCAGGAGACACTGAATTTCTTAGTATAGATTATAAGCGTATTTACTAATAAAATCCACTTGTAATATTTTAAAATTGTAAAACCCAATCTGATTTTTGCATTTGTTTTAATCTTAGGTAGCTTTTGACACAGTATGGTATTTTCATAATGATGGACTAGGAAGTTAGATTAAATCTTTTCAGTGGGATTTCTTCTCAGTCTGTAAAAATAGAATATTTCTTCTTCATCTTTTAGCTCAGAAAGAGAACTTCTATAGACCCAATAATAAAAATTAGTGTATTTTCTGCCAGCAGAGAGGGACAAATACAAGAAGTGTATGGGCTCCTCTGTGAAGCCAGTTCTCTTGTGCTTTAACATGGAAATCTGAATAATTCCGTTGCTTAGAAATATGGGATGTGGTTGCCAATTAGATATCTTCATATCATTGACAAGGCCATGCAATGTGAATAGATTTGATTACAGAAAATTCAGCATAGGATTGACAATAAATTCCTGCAGATACAAGGTGGTAATCCAACATATTTTGGTTCTGGATGATTCCTGAGATACCACTCTTGCCGCACTATATGTATATGTATGTGTATATATACATATAATTTTTTGAGAGGGTCATGTACCAAGTTGGACAGGGTTCAAGATGACTTGAAAGGTAGGAAGTTTATAAAATGCTGAGAACCACTGAAGTTGTTTCACACATGGCACCAGCTAGGAATTTGGACTGAGAGAATCCCTCAACAATTGGACAACAATTGGACACCCACCCTCACATATTTTCTAACTCTTTTTGCCATATTACAACCTTCTCTTGATTTTTCTCTTAATGGCTCCCTGTATCGGTCTCCCTTTGAAAATTCTTCTGCTCCTGAGATCTGCTGTGAAGGTTCCTCACTTTATGGCCTATACCTATACCTTAGGGCATCTGCCACCACTCAAGCTGCATTCTTACAGCCTTGAGCATGGAGCGAGGGATACCAGAGGGTTTCTGTTTTACCAGGCTGTAGAGCAGGGATGATACGCTTGGAGGAACTGTGATACTCACCCCACTTACTTTTCTTCTCCTGCCAAAAGGGTCTTCTCTTGCCAAAGCATAGTAAATAAGGGGCAATGTCTTCACCCTCTCCTAATGAACTGTCCACACCCGCATCTTCAATAATTCACTTGTTTTGTCATTTCATATCAGAATGTGTGACACAGATCTATGAAAATACTTACTTCCAAGGAGGAGACCTCATTACGGTTTTCACACCAAGTGCCAATTACTGTCAAATAGTTTGTACTTACCATCCTACCTGCCTGCTCTTCACATATTTGCCGGTGACGTGGACTAAAGATCCTGCACAGAGGTAAAATGTTCATATGCTTGTGGCTTTTTGCTGTGATAATTTTAGGAACTTGGTAATATTCTGACAAAACTTGGGCATGAGCAGGTTACAGGGATGCTTTGGAAGACTATGTCATGTGTCTTTAAAACTGATGACATAAAAGGATATTTACTATACTTTGAAATATACTTTAAATTTGGCAACATCTAATCTTTCGTACTTGCTTACCAACACCTCCAAGGAAATAGCACCAACTGTGCATTCCTTCCTCCATTGCACTTACTTATTCTTGAGGAACTAAGTAGCCAATTTCATGTTTCCATTTGCCACTTCTTTTGCCCGTCATCCCATCCACTCTCTTTAGCAAATTTTTCTCTCTATGAAGTGATTAGGAATTCCAATAGCCTGAGGTAAGGCTGCCTTCTCTCTCTGTGCCTGTTGTGTTTCTGTCTCCAAACTGTATTGGTCCCACACATACCATGTATGCTCATCTATCACCAAGCATACTAGTACCAACTTTGTCTTTATTTAAACTCAACTTGTTTTCATTTTCACGTTGAAGAATAATGTACAGCCTGTGTTTTACTTGAGAAACAATGAGGGAGTACTGTGTAATACTGCAAAACTGTAAATTACTCCTTTTTAAAATAGGTTCTCCTGCTACTTAAAAGACAGTGATACTGAAATGCTACCAAAAGTGAAGATGGAAGGAGCTATTTCTGGACATTCTTTAAAACAGTGCAACATCAAAATTAGTGGTAAGGTACAGTTATCTGTATGTTTGAATTCTGTGTTCTAACACATTGCAAATGTGATAGAGAATCAGCATCTTGAAAACAGAAACTGAATCAGGAGGTGGCCAAGCAGAGACTTTGCCCAGATGTCTTTTGCCCTATCTCTTTCAAACGTAACACAGAAATCCTCTGCTGATTTCATGCTTCAATCTCAACTATCCTCCAGTGAAGCTTCCCAGTCAAGGCACATCCCTGCTCTCAGGATTTCATTTGCTAGAGGCAAAGGTGGGAGACATTTAACTGATACCTTGAGTTCCAAAGACGAATTTGAAGGGTTAAGTGGATCTTTATGCAAGTTTTCAACTGAAGTTATTGACAGATTCGTTGTGTTTGCTTCTGATTGGAACATGTGTTCCAATCATTCAAGTCTTTTGAAATCCCTTTTCTGTCTGCTTTCTCTCACATTTATATTTCTGCATAGATTTAGACCAGAATAGTAAGTTTTAATGAGATGTTATTTTTCATATTCTTTAGATAATTTATAAGAGTTACTTTAGAATCATGTGATTGCCACTAAAATAAAAATCTATTTATATGTGTTTAAAATCCCCACAAATGTTTGGCTGACTCATGTGTTCTGTGAAGAGACCCTACTGCCCAAAACCTTCATCCTTTGTAGGGAAAGTATTTCAAACTCCGTGTTTATAGTCCTCCCTCTGTGGAGTATAAATTGAATCTTCTGTTTCAAATGGGAGATGGCTATTGCTTAAAAGGACGGATTTGGTATTTTAAACTGGTGCATAAATTTGGAAATAGAATAGTATACATTTTAGTGTTGATCCTGAATTTTTGTATGATTAACCTCACCATGGTCTTGGTGTGGATAGGGATAGTGTCACAGCTTGTTAGTTTTTTTCTCTGACATATTATGCCTATACTTCTGATTTTATTTTTAGTAACTATGTGCAAAATACAATGTGACCGAAGTGAGCACAGGAAGTGACATCAGGATAATGGCTGTGTCTTACAAACTGCTATTGTTCGGGAAGTTCTGGGGGAAAAGAGAGTATGAGAATGTTTTTGGACCTTTTCTATTCCTTTTTTTTTTTCACAGCTTGCAGTCCAGATGTCCACTTAGGATTGGATATGCAAGGAGTAAATTATGACATTAGTATGGCTGACAGCTATCAACAGTGCCAAAAAAGATGCACCAATGACAAGCACTGCCATTTTTTTACATATGCCCAAGGAACATTCCATGATGCAAGCTTTCGGTAAATACGCATTTGATCCCTGTACTTAGATGTACTTAGATCCCTGTGCTTTACACTTAGATGCCTGTACACTAAATCTCAGACCAGTCAGAGGTGAAAGAATTTATTCAAGGAAATGAGTTTTAATTTGACTAGTTATCCTTGCAATGTTTATTCAAGTTTACAGTAAGGAAAATATCTTCAGTATGTTAGTTTTCATTTGTCCATTTATGATAAAGGCAAGCTTGATTTTCATATAACTGAAAACAATTTAAATGTTCTGGAGATATTGAAATGCAAATTGTACTGGCAATTGTGCAGTGATATTGCTTTGTAAAATCTTACTCTGATTATTGCTCTGAAAATGGCATCATTAATGCAGTCAGGGGCATTCTTTCATTTGTACTTGGATTATTTTTGAGCAGTCAGCTTGCTTGATTTTACAAAAATGTTATTCAGTTGCATCCATTCCTTATTTGAAGATTTTTCTGGAGGCTGGATATTGCTCTGGCCTATGAGCAAAGCGGGCATTATGGTAGGACTCATGGAAACAGAAGACTAATGTAGACCAAGGAAGATAACCTGTTGTCTTACTACTTTCTTTATTCTTTATCACTCAGTGAAAAATGCTTCTTGAAACATACGAGTTTAGGAACTCCAACCAGCATAAGGGTGCTTGATGAGGTTGTGTCTGGATTCTCCTTAAAGCCATGTCAGCTTTCTGAATTAGGTAACTGCTTACAATCTCTGTTGATTCAGTTTAGGTTCAAGTATTATGGACGATGAGATGCAGTCTCTCTGACATGCATAAATGTTTTGTGACATAAAATAATTATAATATAAACTTATTCTTTGAAGTATAGTTAGTACTCTCAGGTACAAAACAGACTTTTTTCCACTCTATTATTCTGTCTTACAAAAGGTTTTTTTTCCTTTGATGATGTGAAGAATTCTTTCATAAGATCAGCCTGATGACTCTTAGCATTTTATCTTTGCATCATAGATACAAAAAAAAAAAAAAAAAAAGACACACAGAATCCCATCTAAGTCAAAGGACAAGAATAATATAAATCTTTCTAAATTCTGTTAGTATATCAGATATACTTCAATAGGTTTTTAATGAGGATGTGCAGCTTTGTGATACAACTGAGTAATATGAAGGTACAAATTCTGTTTGTTGGTGTTTTTGATAGCAGCAATGTTTGTGTTCATTCTTGTAACCATTACTCAGGAAAAACTCTCCAGAGTTCATGATCAAGCTGTGTGCATTATATTTTATTTTTAATTATTCAATTAAAATTCAGTTTCTCTTTTTTTTTTTGTGTGTGTGTGTGTGTGTGTGTGTGTGTGTTTGTTGCAAGATAGGCAAGGATTTAGAGAGAGAAGGGGAGAGAGAGAGAGAAAGAATAAATCATAAATCATGAGACTATAAAATCCTAGACAATGCTATCAGGTAATGAGATCATTTGTTCAGACAGAGGGATGTCTAATAAAGTAGAAAAATCTCAGTGTTATCTTCTGCCTTATTGAGTTCCAAATGCCTGAAATGTGTTTACTTGAATATTTGTTCTTGTTTATTTCCGACTACTTAGACTGACTAATCCTACATTATTCATGGTCCAGCTTCATCATTTTAAAAACGGATGCTAGGCTTCCCTTTCAAAGCCTTTGGAATCACAGCAATCCTCTGTACATATCAAAAGCAAAGCTACCAAGAAACTTAGATTCCTTCAATCTAAGAACACCGAATTCATCAGTTTTATGAAATTTCTCTATTTTCTGTTCCTTGTTGTCTTCCTTCTGCTCACTAATGTTGACCATCTAATTGCAGTTTGTTTTCATGAAAATGAGATGTTAAAAAAGGTAGTTCTGTAGCCTTTCTTGTGTCCACTGTCATTAACTTCTCCCCTGAGCAGAACCCAGGCTCCTTTCCTAATCCTAATTCACTGACACTAAATACATACTTGTGTTTTGAGAATGGTTCTTGCTACTTGCCCTTCCATTTTCTGTCTTTGCCCTTCTGCTTTTGTTCTTATGCACTCCTGCTCTTACTTGTCCATAGCAATTTGTCATACATTTTGCCTGTTGCGAAGTTCCTTTCTTGAGGTCACTGAATATTGAACTGGTGATCACTGAAATCATTGTTAGTATCCGTATACTTGCAGATTCATATTTCTGATTTAAATATCATTTCCTGAAAATGGTATTTGTTCTCCTGAACTCTATTTAGCCCTTAACATGAGATCTTGCCTAATAATTGTCAGAATTAATTGACCTTTATTTTCTGATCTTCTCTTTGCTCTTCCTATTGTGTAATAAATGACCTCTACTGTGGTCTTTTCATGTTTATGGTTTTATTTTTTAATTTTTAAATCTCATCGTACTAACAGAAGTCATAGTAAGATTTGCTTCTCCATTTTGCTTTTTTCCTCTTTTGTAGTAAGATGCTCCCAGTATGTTTCTGTAACTAACTGGGTGGTGTCAGCTCAGCTACTGTCCTTTCTCAGCTGTAGAGGTTATCTGCTTCCACCAAGTCCAGTCCTATGGTTTCATAATTCTAAGAGTAGTGCTGCATTTTTTCCTCCTTTTATTGTTGCATAAGTATTTTAACTAGGAATTCAAGTGTATCATCAAAGAGGGCAACACACTCATTTCTTTTAAATGTGTTGGTATTTCCTGTGACTTCCATATCCATAGTCTGGTTATGGGAATTACCCTGCCAACCTTCTGTTATTTTTGATCCTGTTATAGGGAAGACTGCATGTTACTCACACTTACTCTGCCTACTTTTTGAAATAATATTTAGATAAATAAAATTAAGAAAATAATCTCATTATTTTTCTCCTAGTCTTCCCATTATCCTCTTAGGTATACAAATTTTAATAATTTTAGGCCTTGACAATATTAATAAGTTTTATTTCTAATTATGAATGTATGTCTTGATTTCTGTTCCTAATTTAGATCTCTCCATATTAGATCAGCAGATTTGTATTCTAGCATGTAATTTGCAATTCTCCCCTGCTCTACCTCTCCCTATGAGTTTACATACTTAAAAATGTTTTCAAGAAATTGTTTCTGGTTAAAATGAGATGATGTCTTTCCAGTTTATCAGGCAAAAAGAAGAGAAAATGTAAATTATGGGAATGTATAATCTGTAAACCTTAACTCTCTGATATAAGATAGAAGCTTTGGAATTTTGATATTCTTTTCTTGTTTTATACAGATTGTCAAATGGACATTTTTGAACATGAAGAATTTTCAGGAATGAATGTTACAAGTTTTTTCACTCCTGACACATTCGTCTGCCAAACTATTTGTACTTATTTTCCAAACTGCTTGTTCTTTACATTCTTCACCAAGGAATGGCAAATAGAATCCCAAAGGTGAATTTGATGACTTTTAACTCTCTGAAAGATATTTATAAAAACAAAACAAAACAAAACAGAAACAACCCCACAGTCTCAGCCTTTTTAATCACCATTTTATTATATTCTTGGAAATCATTGTTAAAGGTTTGTTTTCTGCAAAACAGCCTTTTTTTTTTTTTTTTTTTTTTAATAATTTTTAATGTGTTGCATCTGTACATTTATAATTTCATTTATCCTATGGTATGAGCAGGGATCTTGTACTTCAGCTGTATATTTAGTATTAATCTGAAAAAATATATATGTTCAGTAAGGAGACGACCTTCAGGTTGTTTTGATAACTTACAGCTGAATTTTATGAAATTGTTAATATGTCTGGTTTCCTTGCAGAATTAGGGTACTTACTTTAAAGCTTTTGAATCAAGTTAACAGGTTTGAAAGTGTTTATTTTTAAAGATCGAACTTCTTTCTTTCGTGTTTGGCAGTGAAGAGTCAAAAAGTTACAGTCCCCTGAAAACAGAGGTGGAATGAAGAATAATGCTTCAATGAAATTGAAGTAAAACTGAGATGGCATATATAATCTAAAGTTATCTCTCCCCTGTGTGTATAAATACCATACAATCTTCAGTAGTACATCCGTATGGCATTTCACATAACTACAAAATCCTTCTCAATTAACTTAGTGAATACATTTTCATATGAAATACTTTTATAGATAAAATTTTGGAAAAACAAACAAACAAACAAACAGGTTTAAGACAGAACTTTCCCTTACCTGAAACATAAATGTTAGAATGTAAGAACAAATTCAATGGTTGTTTTTTGTTTTTTTTTTATAGAAATCTTTGCCTCCTGAAAACATCAACAAGTGGAATACCAGAGGCACTTACATTACGAGAAAATGCTATTTCAGGTTTTGGTCTCCTGAATTGCAGAAGATACTTTCCTGGTAAACAATAAGTTACAATAAAAATACGACTCTTGAATTAATGAAATGAACAGACCTACTGATGCTTGGAACACATTCTTACAGCCTGCAATTCTCGCACTTATGTGCATATGAATTTTGTGGGAGATGAACTCAATGTCACTTATACTAAAGGACCCAGAGCTTGTCAGCAAGTTTGCACAGACATGATCCGCTGCCAATTTTTTACCTACTTTCCTCTCCAAGAGTCGTGCAATGAGGAAAGGTGAGAATTTTTATGGATGGCATCTAATGTGCGTGTTCTGTATAAGAAGTATAAACTGGATCTTTGTATTTATTTATTGTCAGAAAGTGTGAGTGTCATTTAAGAATGTCCTCAAATGGATCTCCAGTGGAAATACAACATGGGCCAGGAAGAATCTCTGGATACTCACTAAGACTGTGTAAAAAAAAGGCCAGTACTGGTAAGTAAAACTTTCCTTTTAAAGAGATTTTTAGACATGTTTTGGTACGGGAAACCTAAGACCTTTCTTTTTCTCTTTTTCTATTTTTTTTCTCTTCTGAATATTGCTTGCATAGAAATTAGGCAGAGGCAGATCATGAAGATAAAAAGTATTCTAAAAAAGTGAACTCTGCACAGCCTGCATAACAGACAGTACCTGTAAACTTTATTTTAACTTCATTTTATTGTTAAAAAAAAAAAGTCATAAACGGATTAGAAAGTCTGATGTTCTTTGTTCCTATTTGCAGGTTAGCAGTAGTTACATCTTTTTTTCATGGTCAAATGAAAATTATCTGCTTAGCAGTTTTCAATTATTTCTGTAGTATGTATGCAGCATTCTTCAAGAAATATTAGGATAATTGGAGGGACGGATTCTTCCCCTGGTGAATGGCCATGGCAAGTAAGCTTACATGTGAAGCTATCTCGCCGGAGACACCTCTGTGGGGGCTCTATCATAAGTAACCAGTGGATCCTTACAGCTGCCCACTGTTTTGTGAGGTGAGTCCTAAATGTAAATTTACACATAAAAATTTCATCCAAGATCTGCAATTAGTTGAGGTTCACCTTTCAGAAAGATAAGTCTGTGTGATTAAAATAACTAGAATAGAATCAACAATTTTGATATAATCAGAAGGTGAAATTTTAAGGTTGTCTGTTCATACTCTTGACATAATTGGCCCTCCACACTTTGCCCTTTGTAGCATAGTGCTGTGTTACTAATTATTTTAACGCATCTAAAGTAGATGATAGGTACCTCCAAGAGTGTAAACTTTCTCATGCAACATGAACTTTTTCTTACTGTGATATCATATTATCAAGGAAAATCTGTTGTTAAGTTAGTCATTCAAAAAATATGAAATGGAATACATCAGAGATTTCTCTGTGGTACTTAGGGAATGGTACCAATCTGACAGGGTGTTCAGCAAAGGCCTGGACACAAGGTAAATCTCTAAGTGGTCCAATTAGGCTGACTCTTGAATGTGCACTACCTTTCTCTGTAACAATCAAATCCTAATTGGACTGGTTTTCATTTAATATTCTTTATTTTCTAATGCTATCAACTACCCAATTAACACACTGTTTTGATACAGATTTCAGCCCTGGGAATAATATCTAGACTTCTGAGTACTCAAAGCTTTGCTAATTTGCATGGATGTATACATGGATATGGACTATATATCACATGGATATATAGTAGGTACTGTTAATGACCACAAAATTGCTATCACATTTAAGTTGTGAAATCATGTGTGTTGTGAAGAGCTGTTTTAAGGATCTTGAACATGATTTATATCCTCGCTAGATGATCACACCCTGTAAAGCAGGTAGGCCTGCCATTTACAGACTGAAAATTGTAAGGCTATTTGTTGACTCAGTGTAATGTCAGAATGGCACAGGTAGTATAAAATGCTTTAAAGAATAAAAAATTATCTAGGCTAAAATCAGATGCTTTTATGCAAGCATTTTTGTACATTATCCCTTATTGTTTCAGCGTAATGAAATATTGTCAAAGCCAGTTGACAAACCTTATAAAAGTGGATAACCCCACTTAACACTCAGAAAAATCCAGTATAGGGAATATCATTCTCTACCTTCAATCCAGTATTGTAGAGTTAGCAGCATTTTAAAGGACAAAAGGAGAACTTGTCTAAAGAGTAAAAAAGTGTAGACTGTGTTCATTAGAAATGATTAAGGTCAACTGATATTTATGAATATACACACAAAATCTTCAAAACCATTTTTTAAATATTGAAGACAGGTTTTGCAGCCTCTTTGATGCATGTATCAAAAATTTTAGGTTACCCTAATAGTAGAGCACCACAATGAAATAACCCTTAAATGGGCTCAAAGAAAAGTTAAAATTATAAATATTAAGTGGAACGTTTTATATTGGTCTGTGGTATTGTATTTTCTATTTTCTTTTATTTTGGTGTCTGAATAGATTCTACTTGAGTTTGTTTTTCCACCTCTGTTTTGGTTACTACAGATGTTGTACTGGAATGAGAATGGAAAGAATCTCTTTTACTTCCTCAGGATTTGTGTTAGACTCTTGAAGATAAAAATAGTAAGACCAGAGTGAAACAGAAAATGAAAAAAGGCACAAGGGGAAATTGGGTTAAAAAGGGTCAGAACAAGAGTCTGACTGTAAGAGAGAGGAAAGACTGGTGTGGTGCTGAAAATATAGATAAAAAGAGGAAGAAAATAAATGAAAAGTGGGAGGAATGGATAAGAGAAATCTGTTTTTAGGTTTGAGAATGTGAAAATACGACTGGGAAGAGTAACCTCAGTGCTGTTCACTGTACACTCAGAGGGTGCTGGCACCTGCACCAAACTAAAACAGTGCAAATCTCTGTCTTTTTCCCTCAGTGTTCAGAACCCCAACATTTGGCGTGTTTATGCCGGTGTTTTAAAACAATCAGAAATAAATGAGGATACACCTTTCTTCAGAGTGGAAGAGATTATTATTCATCCTCAGTATAACTCTGCGCAGACTGGATATGACATTGCTTTATTGAAACTTGATAAGGCTATGAATTTTACTGGTATGTATTCTATCTCAGGAGGAAATTTTTCAGGTTGATAAAGGCTGGTTTTTTGCATGACAGTTCGTGAAACTTGGGTTGTCATCTTTTAATCTGTAATCACTTGGTTTTAAGGAAAATCTCATTTTGTTGGCTTTTTAAAGATAATTTGGGGCTTTTATTTATGTGACTAGGGCAGTATCTAGTAAAATGTACAAAGAATAACATGGAGGATATCAGGTATTATGTAGGTGCCCAAAAAACCTTAATATTTTATTTCTTCCTACTGGCCAAATTAATATTTTTAATCATATTTTAGATCTTCAACTTCCTATTTGCCTGCCATCAAAAGAAGAGGCTAGTATGCTCTATACTGACTGCTGGGTAATTGGATGGGGTTACAGGAAGGAAAGAGGTACAGATAAATATTTAAACTGTGACTTCTTGTATTTGTAAAATGCATTGTGTTAAAAGAAAATATCCTCAAATGCCTTCTTAACTCTTAACCAGGAATGGTGTTTACAGACTATGCAAAGAATGTGCATTTGCTCATATCTTTATTTATATGAATTCAAAGCAGTAATAAAATCATAGAACCACCGAGATTTGAAAAGGATCAATCCAGTCCAACCTTCAGGATCATCCAGTCCAACCTTCCACCTATCATCAAGATATAAGCCAGGATGTCATTAGCTTTCTTGGTCATCTGAGCACACTGCTGGCTGATGTTCAGCTGAGCGTTGAATAATACCATCAGGTCTGTTTCTTTCACACTCTCTTTTAGCCATTCTGACCCAAGCCTCTAGCGTGGTCTGGGGTTTTTATGACCAAAGTTCAGGAACTGGCACTTATCTTGATCTTCAATCCATTGGCCTCTGCCCAGCTATCCAGATTGTCCAGATTGCTTTGTAGGACCTTCCTACCCCAAGACACAACAGAACTTCCTCTCAACTTGATGTCTTCTGCAGACTTACTGTAGGTGCACTCATTCCCCTCATCCCGATCATCATTAAAGATAACGAACAGGACAGGTCCAAGTACTGACCCCTGGGGACCACCAGGCATGACTGGTCACCAGCTGGATTTATCTCCATTCATCACCACTTTCTGGGCCTGGTAATCCAGCCAGTTCTTTACCCAGCAAAGAGCTTATCTGCCCAAGCCACAGGCTGCCAGCTTCTTAGGAGAATACTGTGGGAGAGAATGTTGAATTCATCAGAATCAATGGGCATGAATATAATTATTCCTATAGATGGATTCTCTACATTCTTTCCTGCTTTCTTGCTCCAGGTAGATGAATGCAAGTTGCCTAGTTAAACATCACCATGTACCATCCCAAATATACTTTGAGTTATGTAATGATATGTTACAGATACAGATAATAGACTAATTGCTGTACAGTTGAATCTTGAATTGCAGTCTGCACATAACTTGTTTTTTTAAATATGTTATTTTGTTCATATGACTTCACTTCAGAAATCGGAGATCAATGCATATTGCTTTCACGATTCTAAAGGTTGTTTATGATAAGTATCAATGACCTTTGTGTTTTAATAGTAGGTGTGATTTGAACTCTGATCTTACCCAGAAGCTGGCCAACTAACTGTTAATTATTAAACTCTATTACATTACATATATAGATGAATCTGTTTAGAGTTTCCTTCTCTGCACACTTCCCCATTTGAGAGTTAGAGATTAATGTAAAATCTAACAGAATTCTAATTTCTTCTATTAATTTGTCAGAAAAGACTGCTCTCTACTACTTTTATTTACTTTACATGAAATTTTCACTACCCTGTAGACAACTGGGGTATTGGGCAGCACACATCTGGAAATTGTATTGCTTCAATTGTATTGCAACACATTACTAAGAAACAATTATCAGTAAAACAAAGCAACGCTCTTCATGGGAATACAGGCTCCAAGACTCAATGCCCACAGCAAATCACTGGGAAGTTTTGAAACATTCTTGGTCATAAGTCATACTGTGTTTTCAGAACATTCTAAAAAGCCCAGACAAGCAACACTGTTTAAAAAATGAAAACAAATGTCATGGCTGTTTAACTGCACACTAAAAGCAATGAACTCTGACTTTTTAGTATCACCGAATGGGGACTTTCAGAGTATAGTTTTAGCTTATACTTTGCTAGAGCTGAACATCTGTCTGATCATAATATGTATTACATAGGTCGTGTAGAAGATATTCTTCAGAAAGTTACTGTTCCACTAATGTCAAAAGAGGAATGCCAGGCAAGATACCGGAAGCGCAGAATCGATGACAAAGAGATCTGTGCTGGCTATGATGAAGGTGGAAAGGATGCCTGTAAGGTAACAGAAAGATGTCATATATTGTCATATATTTCAATAATTTGTTTGAATGTATAACTGAATAACATAAATGCTTAATTTTCATAACAAGCATATATTTATAAATAGAACTGTTTTTTAATATGTTACTTTTGCTTGCTGAAAGCACTGACAGTCAACATGTATGTATAGCACCTAATTATGCGACATCGAAATCCTTTGGGATAGACTTTCCATATTCTATTGTGTTTACAAATAAAGAATCTACAAGTGGGGAGAGAGAGAGAGACACACACACAGAAAGAGAGAGAGAAAGAGCGAGAGAGGTAGGCAAGCATACACTTTACATCTCTGCACTCTCCTATTAAGGGGATGAAGTCAACTTCCCTCTGTGAGTTTCAAGTTAAGAGGCAAAACTCATTGGTTTGCTAAGAATTATACAACTTTCCCTTAAAAAACAAAAATGTGAAGAGCATGTAAAGAGATCATAAAGTACAAGTTCCAACTGTCATATGTTTAGGGAGCAGATCAATATTCCTCTGTAATAGTGGAAAACCAAAGAGAGAGACTATAATATCTCAGATATTATAGACATTTCTCCAGGAACACAGATTTCCTCTCTCGTGTTTTTATTTCTTGATATGAAATATAGTATGTAAAAGCTTATTTTGAATCATCCACTATCCACAAGCATCCAGAGTGGACAGTGTTAGAAATGAAATATGGAAAGCTATAGACAACATGAGCAGACTGGTCTGTTCATTATTAGAATTGGAAATGTCACAACAGCATGAGGTCAGTGAGCCAAGTTCTCTGCTTGAGTGTAAACTCATGCACTTACTGTTAAATATTTTAAGTCAATTATAATAGACAAAAATAGTCACGTTAATAAGATTAAATTCTCTGCCAAATATAGTATACATTTTAAGCATTTAAGATATGTTCTCTATTAATGTACTGTTATTATAATCACTGCTGAGTGATCATAATAACAGTGCACAAATAAAAATTATTGGAGCTGGGAAGTAATTTTTTCCTCAATACTAGTTAAGTTTTCTTTGCATGAAACAGCATCAGAACATGGTGATGATGTTACATAACAATGACACACTGTTGTCTCAGCAGCTCATAACAGCTATATTAAAGAACTTTATGTTCAGAAAGATCAATTAGGAATATGAAAAGAAAACAGACATGTATTTTATCCCAGGGAAGATGGTCAGTCAAACAAGATAATGCATGCATAAAGCTGAGGTCTGCATATCCAAACAAACAAAGACACTGGCAAATTTACTAATTTTCTTACCTGTACATGTTGTAGTCCTCACTGAGGGTTAAACTGGCAAATACAGATAAATAAAAAAAGTCAACTGAGCAACAACAACAAAAACAGTAACATTGAACTGTAATTGAACTTACTTGCAATGACTGGAAAGTATTTAGACACCATTCTACCAGATAAACAGAAAAGCTTCTTTGATACTGTGAAAAGCAACTTTAAGTGAGAGTAATTGAACTCTATGCAGTTATTGTGTTGTTGACACTGGATGATGCTGATTTTATCATGGCTTTCTTTGAAAGAGAAATTCTGTTCCTTGTGAAGTCTTTCTGTCCTGTGACACAGGGAGATTCTGGAGGACCACTGTCGTGCAGGCACGAGGAAGTGTGGTATCTGGTGGGCATCACCAGTTGGGGTGAAGGCTGCGCTCGGCCCCGGCAGCCAGGAGTCTACACAAAAGTTGTTGAATTTTCAGACTGGATTTTGGAAAAAACTACGTAACGTGAACATAACTTAATGACTCATAATGTTGTTGTAGAGAAACAACCCTGGGAGCAACAGGAAGATGTTTAATGTAAAAAAAAAAAATAAAATTAAAGTTTTAAAAATGGTGTTAACTGTTAGTTGAAGCATAAAAGACTTGATTAAAGAAGTAGAAAAGAAAAAATGAATGAACTTTACAATGAATGAATTTAAATCAGTAGCAAACTTTCAGACTTTCTGATCACTGATTTGTCAGAAAATATTATACATCTGAGCCATTGACTTCTTCTTTCATCTCCAGCATAAAATATTCTATGAGACGTGTTTAAGGAGATTGGGGATTTTTTGTTTACTTCAGTGATGACTGGACCTCCTCATCTTCTGTACATGTAACTGACATTAACAGTGATTAAGAGAAAGTATTAAAAGGCCAGGAAAATCTGGCATCTAGTCCAAAAGTTCATTGATGACAGACTGCAACTGACATTATAATCCTCTTGATTAAATAAACTATCTCAGCTACAGAATAATATTCTTGATTTTTATCTTGATAATGACTTTTCCCTTTTTAATTTTCTCATTTTTTTCTTTTGTTCTTTCTACTCATCTACTTGTTACTGTCAGTTAACAAAAATGTTTTGTAGCCAAAAAAAAAAAATACTAATGTAAGAAGCAGCAGTCAAAAAAATTTTTTCCGTAGTAAGAAGTTTTCCAGAAGTATTTCTGGATCAGAAGGGAACACACATTTTTCTTTTGCTTTTGTCTTTGCTAAACTTGTTTCCTATATATTCTATATTGCCTTAATTGCTGAAAATATGTTCCAGAATTCTGCTTATAATTGCCTCACAGCCACACTGAATGTATTGTTGAGGTCTATACTGGCAGTGTCTTTAGGAGTAAATGAAGTAATTAAATAAAATATGTCAAATCTATGGAAAAATACTCAAGCTGCCATAAATGAGTTCAACATTTATTTTTTTAAAGCATTATTTGCAACTATCACCAAGGAAAAATGAAATTCCACAACTACAAGGTTATGAACAACTATACAAATTCTTAATCCTACTAAGAGCCCCTGTCATGAGTGAGCTCTCTTGGTGTTCTAGATCCCTGCTTTGAGAACCTTTGTGCTGGCTGCAGCTGTTCAGAGGCCCAAAAGGCAAAGGTGGGAGACACACATTAAAACAACAAAATGCAGGTGTAGAATAAGAGATAAAATTGAAGTTATCTTCATGCTCTGATTAATCCAAACCTGGTTTAACATATCAGCAATCCTCTGACATGCTGTCAAAAACTCATGGACTTAAAAAAGAGGCTGGGAGTGGACAGGAAAAAATAGAAAGCACAAATGCAACACAAGAAGAAGTATTTCTGGCATTGAAGTGTAGTTCTATTCTCAAGGGGAATGAATGAAGACTCTGGAGAAGAGCTGCTGAAGAAACAAAGGAAATATGTCACTGTGAAAATAGAGACTAAAATTCTCAAATAAAGAGCCAATAGGAGACCATCTGCAATATTCATCTGCCAATCCTTGAGCTAAATTCATACTTGCTAAAGAAATATCAGTGCTGAACTGAGAACCTTTAATGCTTTCTTATAATAATAATATAATCAGAATCTGTGTTAATAAGTGTGATCCTGCTTAATCTTTCTGTTATCAGTAGGTACCTTACAGTAAATGAGAGGCAGTTTATGGCCTCTTTTTCTCCTTCCCTTTCCTCTCCCTTGTTTGGGAAAAATATCTAGGAAAAAAAAGCAACATCTTAAAACTTCTTTTAGTCTCATTAAAGAAAATTCTGGCCTTATACTTAAAATCTTCCCCTTCTTGTGCTATCACAGAACATAAACTTCAGTGCTTTAGTTGTTATTTTGATTAATGGTAAGTGTCTCTGGTGGTGTTTTATATTCTGTTTTCTATTCTACTTTATTTCTACTGAAAATCAATGAAGCACATCATCTCGCTTATACCAGATCAGCAGAAATCTTTCGGAGGAATGTTGGCATTAGTCTGCCCCGAGGCTTTGTTCAAATAAGGTCCCTGTTCTGAGAAATTTACAGTCTTGTTCAGGCACAGAGGAGACACTTCATACACACAACGATATTCTGGAGGGCAGTTTGTTCATTGTAAAGTAAAGGAGGCTGTGGAGTTGCTTCAGTGGACTCTTCAGTAGTCATTTTAATAAGACTGTAAACTAAACAAAACCAGTTTTCCATTAAATTGATGTTGCAATGTGTTTTCTTTCACAGCTGATGCTCTGCCTTATGACTGAGTCTGAAATACATTGTCTTATTCTTGAAGGCGTTCAAGAGACATTTAGATGTGATACTAAGGGGCATGCTTTAGTAGAGAAATATTGATGGTAGGTGGATGGTTGGACTGGGTGATCTTGGAGGAATCCAAAATTCTTATGGTATAAAGATGTACAAAATTCATGCTTTTAGAGAGGGAGGGAAGGGAATCATTTGTTACAAGCTTTTTAGTATAAGATTTATTTATTTTGTAAAAAAGAATTATTCTGACATGATGAAAGCTGCATTGCAGACTTTGAAAAGCAAGGAAGGATCTGGATAGAATGAAATTCATTCACACTGACAGTCCTTCCAGTAGAAGAACTGTAAAATTAAAATGTGGATACTTATTCCCAGTCTGATTTCCAGTATGTATAAAGGTTTCTTTTTGAAAATTATTATTAACTCATATAATTTGTGAAATATCTGCATTGTAACATAATAATATAAATTTCCACCTTGTATAAAAGGTACCAATAATAGCAGATGTGAATTTTTACATATTTCTAGGCAAGCATTTTTGGGAGCAGTAAATTAATTGCTTTTCCTGCAGTCTTTGTATTGAAAAATGTGTTATAGATATCTATAGATTTATTAGAGTTATTTAAAGATATGTTATAGTTGCCAAGGTTTATTGAATTTTATAAGAGGTTTTTTTTTTAGTGAAGTTGTGCAGTGGAGATGTGAAAGAGCTATTTTGCATCATGTGGATAGGAGAGAGGAGAACAGTGGAATACTATGAGGGGGTTGAGAAGAAACAGAAGGAGAAAGGCAAAGATGTGTCAACTTGAGGGCTGTTCCTCTCTTCTGGACTTTCTGGGACCTGACTGCTTTGACAGGTGCCTTGAAGACATAAATCTGTGGGCAGTCACTGAATGCAGCTACTTTTCTGAACTATCTTGTCCTTAGAAGTCTGGTGAGCAGTTGATAAATTCTGCATACCGGACATATTGTATGAACCCACATATGCCAAAACTTTGGATTTCAGGGAACCCAAAACTTTAAGATGGGCAAAATAAGGTGATGGCAGCAACTGACATAGCTATAAACATGAAAAAGAAATTGAATAAAGAAAAAGGATGTATATTCTACAGTGAAGTTTTTCTATATGTCTACAGAAATATTAGGATGGCTTTCAACAAGCCTCTGATTTCTTTAATGCCCACAGCATGACCAGCTAATATTTCAGGAAAAGGAGAAATACTTTCTTGAATACTAAAATATCTCGAATTTCAAGAGATTAGTCACTAGATGGCACTTTTGCTCTAATTTGCCTTGCATTCAATAGTCATCGTGAAAAAGGAACTTGTTTTAGTATAACTTTTATCTGAGAAAGTGTATGTTCAATAGATCTGAGAAAAGATTGTTTAACCTTATGTGCATAGCTGAGAAATAATCATAAATAATTAAATCAGCATCTTCTTTTGTAGATTTCAGAGAGTTCATCACTGGTAAGTATGTTTAGCTACACTTTTCCATGTGACAAAGGTAAGGTTAAGACAACAGCAGAGGGAACAAATCCCTACCTGTAGAACTCCACGATATTTCACATAAACATGCACCACAACCATTGAATGTCCCTGTAAAGGCCCCGAACACTTTGGCTCACTCTTGAGGGTGAGACTTAAAACCAACTTGGGTACTGTGGTCTGGGTCTGAGTTAAGGAGCTGGAGGAGAATTCATCTTGAGGAGCTGTAAGAACATGGCCCTGCACATGGTACCCTTGAAGCCAGCTTAGGCTACACTTTAATAAAGTGTGACTATTTCCTTCCTGCTTAAATTGCTCAGGATTGGACAGGGTGAAATTCTGAGTTGTTTCTCTCCAATGTTTGGTCAGGATGCAACCGAAGTGGACTGTGCATAATGATGTCCCAGCTACTATGGGCTCTTGTGGAGCAGAGGATAAGTAATATCTTATTATCCTACTACAACTCCATAATCTCCAGGTAGGTGTTGGTCTTCATAAAACTTGCAGCAGTCAAGCAGGTGGAGAGAGATGTGCACCAAAGATTTAGAGAAAGTTATGGATTGAAAAATGGCCTCCATTTACAGCAAGAGACTAAAGCAGTGGGAGGATACAGTCAAGGAACTTCTGTCTCTGTTTACTGCTAGGTTGCAGCATGATATAAGCGGTCCTGTCTTGTGCACACAGGATAGACTGGACAGTCTTCTATCTGCTGGTTTGATCAACATCAGCAATACAAAATCAGGGTTTGTAGTATGAACGATTTTTCAATCTCGAAATATCATCATCAGACTTTCTGTTTGTTTATCCTTACTCGTTCTTTAGCTGGTTCAGTCATTCCATTCTTCTGCAAGTACCAGAAATTCATACTAGGAACTTTTTTTTTTAACTTTTCTGCAGTTGTTTTTGTTTAGAAATCTCAAATCCAATCAAAATCATAATAAAGCTAAAATAATGAAGAAAAATGCTGAGAAGGTAAAATAGGCAGAAAAATGACTAACATAAAGGTGTGAATAACTTGTGCTAGCTTGTTAAGTGTGACCTTTGGTATCACTATGAAAAAGTTCTGCTCTGTCCCTGGCAGTGCACTTGGTAGTTGCCACCCTGCAACCTGGCTGCAGCTTGGACTAACAGCAGGGCAGAGGGCAATGGCTAAGCCTGACAATTGCTTGGAGAGTGAGATAGTACTGTGTAAGGAGTATTTTATTCCTATAATATTACTATTTTCTATGAATTAGACAATTTGGATTTTTAATCTATTAAAACGTTAGCTATGTTAGCAGTAAATTTTGAATGTTTTTGATGTGTTCCCTTTTGCCCTTAACAAGGTTTTCAATGTGACATTAAGTAAATGGAAGCTCACCTTAGGTTACAGAGGCATACAAGGAAAAAGTAGCAAACTATCCCAAAGTGGTAGCACAGCTTCTTTTTGGAGAATTGTCAGCCATTTATTGAAAGCAAAAAATGTAGTGCTTTTGCAACTCATTCTACTGTTTCTGAGCTCTTATATTATATTACTCTGCATAATACAATAGAAACTCATCTCAGTTGGCTTTCAGGTACTACCTAATGAAAAAATGTCAGTAACATAAATAACTGATAGCATCCTCAAAAATACAGTTGATATTGACACACAGATTTCATACTTGGTTCATATTGATTGTCTTTTAGTTTTGTACAGGATTTTCTATGTTTGGTATTGCTTCTAAAGCTGCATCTGCTAGATTCGTAGGACTGGAGGGGAAGGTCACCTTTATACATAAAAAGTACATTTCTGTCTCTTGTGGTTGCAGGAAAAAAAGCTGAAAAACATGACCCATGGCCATCCTACAGGGTACAGGCTACCATTAGTATTTGTAAGCAGTTTTTTTCTGAACAAAAATCCTCCTGATATTAAAGCTTTTTTTCATTATTTCCAGCAATCTGACTCATAGCTGTCACATGTGTGGGACTGACTGTACTATGTAAACCTTCACACAAGATGAAGGATAAATCTACTGAACTAAAAAATATAAGTCAAATGTTCCAGCAGAACTTAAATCTTTTTTTTAATCCAGTTTATAGATAAAAGGGACTGCAAGAAGTTCAGGTCAGATTTTTCTGAATTTATGTCATTGACACTGGTTTCTCAAAGGTCAATGTGCACTAGTGAAATACTCCAAAACCAAGAACAGTCTCAGCATACAGGCCACAGAGGGTATGCCAGGACTTGCTGTTTCTTTTCCATTCCATAAGAGATTTTTCTGTATCGGTGTAATCCAGACCATCTGATGCAAATTAATTAATCCTGGGAGAAACACTCGGAAAAGAGATGGGTAGGGTAATCTTACAATAAATACTGGGACTTGAAATAGCAGCTTATTTGGAACACATCACTTTGTTTCAAGACTACCACTTGTGAAGACCCTCTGCACTTTGGTCTGGTCTGGCTATGGGGAAGTCTCCAACGTAAACAGTAAGAATACTATTAGATCATTAGGAAATTACAGCAACGTTTTCAGTTGCTATTTCTGTGCTCTGATTGATAGAGAGACCCCCCAGTTGCAGTATTTCAGAGGCACACTTACAACATTGTGATGACCATCTACAATCCGTTAGTGCAAACAAGATTATGGACAGAGAACTCATGCCTCTTAAATGCGTTTTCTGAGCATGAGGGACACCCATGGTGGAATGACTCATATCTGCCTGGTAAGTGAGACACACATTTTTTCAATAAATTTTTTTAACAGCTTTACTATTTACAGTTGTAAATAGTATTTTATGTTGTCAAAGCAGCCCATTAATTGGTATATGCTTTGATACAAAAAGTTGCTTTATTAAGCATCTAACAAGTGCCATTGGATTTATTCAACCAAAAATCTAGATTACACCCTGTGAATTTAATGAAAAGGACTTAGTATGTTTTTAAGAATGTAATCTTTTGGTAGTACTACAGAATAAACTGCCGTTATGAATGGACTAAGCTTTATTCTTGGGCCAGACGTTCTCCTCTTTCTGATAGATTAAAAAATAAAGATATGGGCCAGACTTGGATACTGCATAAGCAAAGGTCTTTTTATTAACTACAACACTGTTGCAGTTTTCATTTCTACTTGTAGCACTGTAAAACATTTTAAAGCCACTGGATACATGGTATTGGTGAGGTAAGAATGATGTTTCAGATAGAGATACAGTTATATTTCTTTCCTTAAGCTGGATTGCAGGAGCAAAAGAAACAAGTAAAATTTCTAAAGCATCATATGGTAAGTGATTCAACACTGAAATGAATTATTTCTTTGTAGATGAAAGGGAAGTGACAGATGAACACAGAGGTTAAAATAATAGGTTTTACACATGCATGTGTTGGATTCTTTCACAGAAAAAATCTAGTGTGTATATTTATTTTTTAGCAAATTAGGTAAAAAGCAAATTAGGTACAGTAGACTTTAAATATTAAAACCAACTGCTAGCAGTTTACTACACTGCAATGCTGAAATGGTTTATGGACTTGCATTCAGATGATAAGATCAGTTTTGTAAAGTACAGATCTGCCTTTTTGAAGAGTGTTGCTTATGCATCTTTCTAAAGTGCAGTCAGTAGGCATTTTTGACTGATTGGGATAATTCTGTTGTCCAATTTGTTATTGTTTAGTGTATAAAATGTTCTGCATGAATCAAAGGCTTTTCAAAGCATAGTAGACAGTAAAAAAAGATTATGTCAATTTGCAGAAAGTACGCATTCTGCTGTTAGCTATCAAAAGTGTGGACCAATTTTGTTTTGAAGGAATACTTGTTAAATTTATAACAATGTAAGAAATAAATTTTAAAATATCTCTAAATAAGCAATAAGTACTCAGAGAGATATCAGTAAAATTAACGTACTTGGTAATTCTTTTAGTTATGGCACTGTAGGAGATTTTGCTGTTGTGTTTTGCAGTTTTTCTGCCTCTTAACATAGAAAGTAAACAGATATGAAACAAAGTGGATTTTTTTAATGTTCTTTATTTTTAGAACGTAAACATTTAAAAGGAGAATGAATAATGTTGTGTTCACTAAGGATATTTTAAAAGTACAAATATGTTAGGGAGGTTTTTTTCTTAGCATTTGAGCTAAAGTTTTTAAAGTTTTAATTTTTAAGGTCAATGGGCAAATCAAAATTTTGAAAAAATATTTTTTGACTAAATTAATTATTTTTGAAAGTTTGGAAAGTATTCATTAATTTCTCTTGATAAAATGCAGATCGATTTGTACAAAAGCTGTACTTATAAACAAAAAGATTGGAAAGTTCTGATTCCAAAATGATTTTTTAAAACTTTTTACTCTATCTTCTTTCTGGTTGGGGCAATTAGATGGAATAGAACATTCTGCACTTATTAAAACAAACAAGCAAACAAACAAACAAAACCAAAAAATACCCGACTGTTCACTTTTCAAAGTAGGAAATACTTGACATTTCCAGAGTGTCATCCAAACCTTGTTTTTAATCCACCTTGACAAATTTTTTACTCAGGTGTTTATTTTTCTGGTTGTATCTGTTAGCCTCAAGTGAACATATCTGTCATATCTGTGAACCCTTTAGAGGGTAACAAAAACCCTGAATTTTCTATCAAAATATGGTTGTTATAGACATAAAAAGTTTCTGAATGTGGATTTCTACACTTTTTGTCAAGTAATCTGTTGGAACTGACTACTTCTGTTCAGTGGTGAAACACATTGTGTACTTGCCTTTCCATCAATGGGGCTGGGCTTCTTGTATCTGAGGTACACAGGACAGAAGGAGCAGACAGTGGTGCTATTGACAGCTGACTTCTAATGAAAGAAAACACAGAAAGCACATTTACCCAGATGATGTTGAATCTATATTGTAAGTAAGATTCCCCATGTCAGGTCTCAGTTTTGATTACATATTATTCTTATCTCATTAGCATTAGTCCTAAGCCATAGTGATGTCTAATAAGCTTCTCCTGCACACTATGCAGTTTTAAGAACACAAGTCTAGATAATTAAATTAAATAACAATTCAATCATCTATGGTTTTATTTATCATCCCGTAGACTCTTAGGACTGACATCCTCTCCTCAGTGACTGCTTATGCGTCATAATAAATGGTTTTTATAGCAGAAAGGTAAAGAAGACTTTTCCCTATTATATGAGTATACAAGTAAATAGTGCAGCAAAAATCTTTAGGTAAGAGATTAGATACATATAGAGTGGGTCCAGAGGAGGGCCATGAAGATAGTCAGAGGGCTGGAGCACCTCCCTTATGAGGACAGGCTGAAAGAGTTGGGAGAAGACTCTGAGGAAACCTAATAGCAGCCTTCCAGTACCTGAAGGGGGCCCACAGGGAAGCTGGGAAGGGACTTTATAAGGGCATGTAGCCACAGGACAAAGCGAAATGGCTTTAAATAGAAAGATGGTAAATTTAGACTAGATATTAGAAAGAAATTCTTTACTGTGAGGGTGGTGAAACACTGGAACAGGTTGCCAAAAAAGGCTGTGGAGCATTTAGATCCAGGCTGGATGGGGCTTTAAGCAACCTGATTTAGTGGGAGGTATTCCTGCCTATAGCAGCGGGGTTGGCACTAGACGGTCTTGAAGGTCCCTTCCAACCCAATTAATCTATAACTGCGGAAATAATTATCTGGGATAAACTGAGAGGTTTGAAGACTTCTGACATAAGGGAAGGAGTTAGATGTATACGTAGGTCATACTCGTGCTAAGCAGGGCATTTAGAAGAACTGACCATCTCACTGCAATTTTAAACCACAGGCAAATTAAAATTTATGGCTCAAGGGAAGATTGATGAAGGAGCTTATGCAAAAATAATGATGAGAAAGGGAAAGGGGATAAACTGAGAAAGCTTAATATTCTTAGGCAATTGAAGCATGAAAATATCTAATAAGTCAAGCAAGAGAAGAAAATGAAGTATTGCTGACTTTTGGACTTTCAACTATTACATAAATATGAGAAAGAACAATACTTTAAAAAGAGTGGAAACACAAAGCCCCAGTTCTGTCCATCAGCAATGTATGGCAGTATATATGATTATGTATTAGAAGAAAAATAGAAAAAAGAGTAGCAGTACAATTTATACTTGGTTGACGGATGGTCAAAGTTCAAGGAAGTGCAATAAGGAGCTTTGCAATTTGACTCTGATACTTTTTCAAAGTATATAGATTTCCCAGGGCAAGTTATCTCTGCTGAATGGTAAGAGTAATTAGCCTGGACTCAGCACAGTTCTACTATAAGTATTTGATTCTTTTGTTTGCTTCTTTATTTTGCTTTGGAGCTTGTTCAGAGATTTGGTGCTTTGTGGTGCTAAATTGCACTTCATGATCATGCATACAAAGCACAAGATTTACTTGGTTGTCTTTCTCTGCATATGAGCTTGCATAATTATTTATTCAGGCCGAGGTTTGTTTTCTTGTTGAGGTTGTGTTGGCTGAGGGTGCTGCATGTTCTTTTAGTTGAGAGAGCTTTCATTAGCCATTACAATGCATTTAAGTGCAAGAACCATTTTGATGAATTCAGAGAAATGCAAATGAAAGTTGCTCCATAAGATAGAAAATTGCTCCGTAAAAACAAATTCTTTTATATCACTGACTTTTATATCAGTGGCCTATTACCTGATTGCAGAAGATAAGCTCTATTTTACAAGGGGGTAGGTTTACAGAACTCTAAAGTAAGTTTTGCAATTATGTGCTTAAGTAAACATTGAATTACCATTCCATCTCCATTGTTGACACAGTGGTAATACAGATGAATTGTAATGCAAAAACTATAGGGTGTTAGCCATATAAATCAAAGTCATTCCAAAAAATGTGTTTGGTTTAACTTTAAATATACTTCCAAGTACCAAAAGATATGTAAAATTCAGATGGATTTTTTCAGAACAAGCAACATCTTCTATGTGCATTAGCTGCTACATCCTTTCTGTCACATGAGACTTGTGGGTGAACAGCAGAAATAAGAACAATTGAAAAAAAATGCCCTGTATGAGTATGGGGTTTTCAGATTGTCCATTTAAGTGTTCTACTTTTACATGAATCCAGAGGATTTATATCTACCAACCATGAGTCAAACTCCCTGCTTGTTTTCAAAATGTTATCGCATGGCACAGGAGCCCAGATCACAGTTCTTAGTGAAATAACTGAATTCTCACTACTTAGTTACCTGTTTCCCCTACAAATCAGTGGAAGCTATAGGTTGTGCAGTTAGCCTCTCTAAATCTTCCCCAGCTACACAGTATAGAAAGCAATCCTTCCACTCTTGAATTCACATTTTATTTGCTGAGTGGGAGATCGTATCTGAAGTACACATGTTCACCTAGAAAGGAGTAGTCATGTTCTTCCCTCTACATATACACACAGGGAAGACAGACTGCATTTCCACTTCACTCCACTGTATATTGCTTCTTGAGTTACTAGGTTTCCTTGTTTGCTAGTGGAAGAAAAAGACAATTACACACTTAAAGTAACCACCTTAATCAAATCTTAATTGGCAATAATACAAATAAAGCATAAGAAAAAACAGCTTTTTTTCCCCAGTCCGTCTTGATTTCTTTGATGTGTAGATTCTGGAGTTTTTTTGGCTTGAAAGCACCTCATCTCCTGAGCACATTTTTGGAGATATAGAAAGTCCTTGATTATTAGAACTTAGGGTAGAAAAATTACACTTGGATAAGCATGACTTTCAAGGCTTACACTTAACGCGGTGTTTTTTCTATAATCCTGCAGAATGGCAAGCTAAAAATAGGGCAAAAGATTTTTTTGTATCTCAATTCAAAGCAAGAAATAACAGAAATAATGAGTTTAGTTTTAAAATAAACCATTCTTTTCCTCAATTTGCAATTTGATTAATTTTTATGTTCAGATTCACATTTAGGTAACACTAAATACTGGGCTGTGAAAATGGTTAACTGTAGATTACAGTCGTGGTGGGACACATCCTGTGTTCTTAACAGATAGTTTTTTGATTGTACTTAAGCTTAAGATTTATACAAATGAACCTGACAATTCAGGCCTTAGTTCTACAGTCTCAAATTCAGTAGGATTTTATTTCTTTGGCTGAAACTGATTCAGCTCAATATTACTTATCTAAACACCTCAGTTAGTCCCTCTTGGTTGCCCTTATCAGGAAATAGCTTCTTGGAAATACGACAGGAATATCTTTTTACAGTTCTTCACTGGGAAGAGGTCCCTTTCAACCTCAGCGATTCTGTGATTCTATGAAACAACATTGTGATCAGAGCACTCTTCTGGAAACAGGAAACAGAATCCATTTATTGCTAGTGATGAATTGTTCAAAATAGTGTGTCCTATTTCTGTGAGGAAAATCCAAACACGACATGGGAGAAATGTTCTTTTGCTTATTGTAGCTTGTCAGTACAAAGCATCCAGAGTAAGGGAGATGAGACCAGAAGTTTCTTTTCTCTGCTATGAGAAACAAAGGAAATTTTAGTTTCTGTATTCACCTTCTCTTTATGCATCGTATACAGGGACTGGCTATTGTAAAAAAGTCAAGATTTGTAAGATCATCTAACAGCCATTGTTAGAAAGACAGCTGTACCTGAAAACTTCAGACAGATTTTCAGATATAGCTCTTTTCAAATCTAAAGCAGAGACAACAAATACCAGTTAAATAGGACCAAATGCCCTGGTTCTAACCATGCTGTGTTAAACTTACACAGTTTAGGGGATACTGATGAGAAATTCAGGTTTGTGAGAGAGAGGGGTGGTTAGTAGAGGTGGGAGAAATTGCTATGGATACAAGAGACAGTTTTTCTTCCAATTGGTGCAATTTAGTTAGATTTTTTTTTCTCCTATACTTGCCTTAAAAGTGTCAGTAAGTGCTTTTGGAGGTCCAGCTGTGAGGCTCTGGCTTGAGGTCCTGCTTGGCTGTGTAGAACCATTTCTGTGCTACCCCTAGGACTGTGCTGTTGTGACTAGGACTGTGTAGTGAGCAGTGTCAGAGGATACTGCTGAGATGGAAACAAAAAGACAGAGGCAGACAAAAAAGCGGCAATGGTGGAGGGGGCCTGGGTACATTTTAAGTCATGTAAGTGCAGAATTGAGATCTGAGAGGTCAGCAATGGTATGATTGCTGCTTGAAGACTGTTCTTCTGGTAGGCATCTGTTACTTTGGTTGCTCCAGTGGGCTGAAACTCTTTGATGCTTATAGTACTTAGTCATTATATAAAACAGATGTATTTTATTTTCTTGAGGAATGCTGGAAGCCAGTCAGGAATCAAAGTATGCATTTCTATGCATTTCTCATGAAATGTGGGGGTTATGTCAGATCCTTGGAACAGAGGGAGGAATGCATGTTTTCTATTTTTAGGAAGTTAGTCATGCATTATTGTGACAACAAACACAGTAAAACTGTGTGAATAACTGGTTTTATCCATTGGCAGATGATCCAAACCTAAAACAATATTCAGGTCAATATCTAGTGAAAATTCAACAAGTCTCTTTGGTAATTATGTTACATTTTTATGCTAGTCACATTTAGAAAACATGAAAAAAGAAAGTTGGAAACAAAAGTGTGAGATCCTGGGGTTCTGTTCAGAGAACAGGGAAGAACAGAGACTTGAATGCCTTGGAAGTTCTCTCATGTCATTAGAAAGCATTGGAGAAGGGCTGCCTCACTTTGTCATCTCAAGCATATACTACCTCATAACAAACAAGAGTGTTTCAAGCAGAAGTTAGAAAACCTCATTGAGGCTCTTGCCTGTGGCCAGACCTGCTACACTTTTATATTCTAATCACAGAGTTTGAATAGATGATAATACCATACTTGGAGCATATGTTATATTTACTCCTAGTGGCTTGCTTACAAGTTTCCAGTCCTAATGAATGAAGTTCACAGAAGTAATGAATATAAAGAGAGGAGGAATTTAGGGAAAGAGGTTTTGAATATTTCTAGTTTTATCCAGGATGTAAAACCAGCTTTATTTGACTCTCCCAGAAAGAAAGAAGCTTCTTGGCTTGTTCTGTAGGTGGCCATAGTGCTACTTGCTATATATTATGGAGGAAAGCAAGAGCGACATTTTGCTGTCAGAGCATGTTTGATATATAATTCAGCTCTGACAAGAGCTGGCAAAATACATCATATTCTAGCAGGGCTTTTTCTGTCCCCGTGGAAGAGATAAAAATGGTAGGCAATTTTACGGTACACTCTTTTTGCTATATAAGATCTGTATGAAACCCTCTCCATGAAGAACCCTTATGCTGTTTATACAGTTATAGGCATGATACATAAAGGGAATGACAATGAATTTCAGCTCTCTAGATCAGTTTTAACTATGAATGCTTTATAATTTAAAAAAAAAAAAAAAGAAAAGCCAGGAAATACTTTGGCTTAGTGCTAACTTATACTATCAGAAGATGAAATCTTCAAAATACGTTCAGCTTTTAACATACGAGTTGTTGACTTGAATGATTAAAAATCCCCTAGCAAATGTAATTAAACTTTAATAATTAATAGGCAGTTTTATTTTTGTAATTTTCCAAACTATGATAAGAAAAGTCTATTCTCAGAAAGTTAAGTACATAGAATCTCTTTCAGTACCTGTACTAAACTTGTAATTCACCTCAACTGATTAAGAATATTTATGCAAGAGCAGGACAGCAGCGAATCCATTTAGGTAAAACACTCCGAATAACTGTATGCTTAAGATTAAGCTGGTATCTAAATGCTTGCTACATCCAGACCAAAGAACATAATGAGATATTTAATGATAATCTTCAGACTAGAACGTGAGAAAGAAGCATTTGATGCTGAATGAAAGAAAGGGGTTATTTTTGCTTTTCTCTTTTCCCTCCTCTCCAGCAGCTCAATTTTATTCAGTGCAAGTCATCTTGCAGTGCAGGCTGTTCCCTGCAGGATTTGCGGAATTGTGATGCTCATGCTCTGTATCCTGATTAAAAAGCAATAGGGCCACCCAAAGTTAAAGTTAAGGTAGAATCTGAACAGTGAAAGTTATTCTGAAAGAACAGAAGACAAAGAAATAGATAAAGGATAAAGAAGAGATGAGTGAAAAAAAGAATAGAAAAGAGAAAAAAAGTATGGGTCTGTGAGAAAAGAGAAGAAAAGGGGTGCATGTGTATTAATGATTACTCTGGAAGCAAAAGGATAGTTTGTAAAAGATCCCAAGAGAAAATCATTTCTTCAAACCTTCACAGCCAGCACTTTAGTGAAAGTAATCGATGGAGATTTTCTTCCCTTCTTCCCTTTCTTCCTTCCTTTCTGTGTAATATGAATAAGTTATTAATTCTACAGCTGTTTTTATGAGTTTCTGGGGAATTAGAAATGAGCACAGCTTGAAGAACATTGTATATACGTGATTGCATGGCTCTGGCAACAAAGAGGGAATTGTATCTCATGTTCAGAATAATAGTTTTATGCCATAAGATATAGATAATGAAAAGGAATTAAGATGATGATTTAATAGCCTTTAATCCTGGTGATTGAATAAGTGAGGTGATGTCTTGCAAGGCAAGGAATGACAACAGAATATGCTCACTGTAATTCCTGAATGGATGTAGACACTTCAGTCTTTGATAGCACTTTCATGTTTGTTTTTCCCAAGTTACTGCATTAAATGCTGTAAAAGCAACTGAATAGCAAAGAGCGTTGTAACAAAAAAAAAGTATAGTTTATCTTGAGAGAGATGAGAAAGATTAAGTGTTAGAATATTACACTGGGTAAATGCCCAGTAAAAAGAGGACTGTAATCACTGATTGAGACCTCCATTCAGTGAAAGTTAACAACATAATAAGAAGAAATGCAGATAATTCCTGGTTTTCATTTCTGCAACATAGGGATGGGTTATTCTAGAGAGGCTGAAATAAAAAGTCACTGGCAGAATGACTCACTGAGGAGTAACTTTGATGTAAATGTCTTATTCTGATCGTGTCAGAGGTTTATTAAACAAACAAGACCCTGACAAGGAGGAGTGCCAATGACAAATTTTTGATTTGTCTTTTGAAAGACAAATCCTGTATTTTAGTTGGAAATATCCACTACCAAATGGATCTTTTCATTAGTTCAGTTCCCTCAGTGGAAAACTATGAAAAGCAGGTTATGTGCATGTGTAAGATCTGTGTATATGTTAACTATCTCACATAAGACTAGCATGGATCCTAATTTCTGTTTTATCACAGTAGAGGAGAAGACAGGTGCATTCCTTCTACATGTAACTGAAAAATGTTCTTAGGCTATCAGTTTTGTCATTAGAGCTCAATTTTCCATTTTGTCTCCACATTTTCATAGTGTTTCGCCTTCCATATTTTGCCAGAGGAGGATCTTTTGTTGTGGATAGAATGGTAGTCGTAATCTAAAATTTTCAATGTTGTGTTTGACTTTCAAGAATTAGCAAATTCTTTTTCTTATGAAATGTTCCTAAGTTTCTGCGTATTTTCATGCAACATGTGTTTTGAGGCATGCTACTTGCGTAGTATATATAAACAAAAACTTGTGCATTTTTGTTAATGTTCATGTGTAAAGTTATTTAATGTTTTCTTCTATTTTATCCAGGAAATGCATATACGATTAACTACGTGGAGTGTTCCATATCTCCTCTGAAACAGATCAAAGAGAGGATTGATTTAGGTACAAGTGGCCCAGAGGGAAGAAACAGCTGAGGTGTAGTACCTCTTTGAAGAAATATCACAGACAACAGAATTAACATGGGCAACAAGACACAATTTTTCACTCGTTTCATTAACATTGCAGATAAAAATAACTATGCAATTTTGATTTTCAGCTCTCAATCTGAATTGTTACTGCAGTATGGATGGTATAAAGAAGATAAATCAGGTGACCTTGTTCTTCATCGTTTAATGGTCAAAAACACACTATTTAAGCAAATAAATAGTCTAGTTAATTGCATTTTGAAATTAATTGTATCATGTAAGCTAAAGAGAGATTGGTATAAAGCACACATATTAATTTTGAGATTCTCTTAAGTCACATTTGTTTAGCAGACAGGTTTTTTTCACACGGGACGTGTCCATTTGCTGCACTATCTCAAACAAAGAACAACATCTGAATTTTTTAGAAGGAAATATAAACTCAATAGGGAACATTTATTCCTTTACAAAGTGATTTGGTTGACTCATGCCCTGAAGAATGACGGCTTGTATTAGATAACAGTAATTAGTTATAGCGAGTCATTGTCTTTTAAAAAGAAATATCATTTCTTGCAAGACAGAAACATCCAATAAATAACCAATCTGAGAGAGGACCTTAAAACAAATCAAGGTCAAATCATGTTATACGTTTAGAAAACTTAGTTTATGGAATACAAGTAAAAGATTCTATTTTTTTCTCTTAAATGAAAATGTGTATCAGACAGTAATGTAGTTCTTGACACATAAAACTTGGCCCCCACATCGGGAATGTATGTCGCAGACAGATTGGATGTTCCATTGTACTGCCACTCCCATTCCACTGGTTGCAGCATTCAATTTTTATGTTCAAATGTCATTATGAAACAGCTATTTGTTTTGAGAAATTACTAAAGATGGGTGTATTTTGCTCTCAGTTTTCTAACAGAAACACCGGAGAGTGGGAATGGCAGCAGGATAGGAGATTGTTACAACTGGAGTAATCCTTACTTGCAAATTTCTTCTGCCTTTTGATCTGCCAGCAAGTCCCTCTTCACAGCAGATGCGATTTCCAATATGTTAACAGCAATGGAGATCTCTGCAGAAGTTGAAAATGAGCAGTACTGACACTCTAATCTGTGAGGTTGAAGAGAGATGTCTTGGAAATTTGGGGTCCAAAAGGTACAAATAAAAAGAAACATTGAAAAAATTACAAGAATATCTAATTTACAAGTATGTTTATCAGTATGCAAAATGTATAGTAAATAGAGTTTTGGACAAAGCTCTTAGAACTAAGAAAGACAGATATTTTCTTTTTAGTATCATAGCAACCTACCCACCCAATAAACTCCCCAGCCTGTGTTCTAAGAAGCTCAAGAGTTTGCCAGAACAGCAGAACACCATTTTTATTTTTAGTAGAAAATACAGATTTGTTATTAGCAGCAGCAAAATGCAGTATGTCTTATAGGAACTTTGCAGACAGCCATACACATAACAGTCTGTTTTTAACTTTTACCATGGATACTACTTTTCCTCTCGAAATCAGGATGTTATGCAAAGAACATCTTTCATGATTTGATGTTCCAGGCACAGAGCTGAAGTTGTGTAGATTTCTCCTCCTTCTCCCCTCCTATCTAATGCTTTTTCTTTCCTCTTCATTCTCCAAAAAGAAAAATGAGACTTGATGGAGCGTTGAGTTTTTGTTGCTTTTTTTTGGTAGAAACAGTCTGTTAGGGCCATGGAGAAGATTGCCCAGGACATCCGAAGGCATTATTTTATGCCAGTCATCTGCAAGGTATGGTTTTTAAAATGTTCATAATCAAAAATCTAAGAGCTGGGCACTCCCATTTCAATTCTGATCAATGTATAGTTGCGTAATTATAAAGTAGAATAAAACTGAAAATTTATTTAAATCACCTAAACCAGCTTTCTTAATGGGAAACACATTGAAACTAGTTCTCATTCAGAACTGAATGAATGACATCATGGCCAAAACCTCCAACTGATGGAATATTTGATACATATAAATAATGTAAAGCTGCTATAGAAGGCAGTCTACAGGATTTCTAATACTTCAGCTATTGCTGAAAAGTACTTCAGGTTTCCTTTTCATAGGGACCCAAAGCAAATTCTCATGGGTTTTTATCAAAGAAAAGACAGAATTACTTTTGAAATGCTTCTAAATTCTCATTAAGTTCGAAATACTTGCAAAGTTTGCAACATCTGCAGTCTTTCTTTTTTCCCTAAAGAACAAGTACCACATGCAAGATGGAATATTAATTGATTTTTTTCTTTTATGCATTTTTAGTAATGCAAGTCACTTGAGGAAAAAACTTAATTGCAATGGCACAGCTTCCACAGACTCTGAATAGGCTGAGTGTAATGAATGATTAAATGTGAGGTCTCACTACTATGGCAGAAAATTGGACAAACCTAATGATATCAATGACTCTTTCTTTTTTGCAGATTTCTTATGATTAAATTAAAATGGTGAGCCAAAAATTTCTCCACCATTAAAACCACTTAAGATTTCTTGTTATATGGAAGTTAAACAGAAGTCGTGATTTCAAATCTTTTTCAAGTCCAGTAACCTCCAGAGGGTGGAGCACCCAGACACCTTGAAGCTGATCTATTTGCTGACAACCTGAGAAACAGGAAGCCCTTTGTCTCTAAAAGTCTCCAAGATCCAAAGGGGCTTCTCAATGGATTTATTAACAGTGTGGCAGGGATACATGCAGAGAAGAAACTTCAGTGTTTCTGTGGTTTAAAAACACAGCACATGGTGCTATTTAAGAAACCTGCCCAATAAAATTGCTGCAAGTCCCGTTGTAAGAAGATTCTGTATGGATTATAGACCCATTCAAAGCTCTTTCATTATAAACATCACTGTTTCTATGGTCCTCAGAAATTTTTATTCTTGAAAGAACCCACGTTTTTTTCACTCTGGCTGTATCTCTACCACTGCTTACTCAAATCAGTGTAGCTGAGGTCATTTTGCACTTCTTGTCTGGGGTTGTCAAATTTATTTTCAGCCTTGTCAAGTTCAGTCTTTGCTTTTTTTCTCTGTGCTAAGGGGACATTTAGTATAAAAGTGCTTCTGTTGGCATTTCTTCTTCTGTCCCCCTTTTGACATATTTTTGTGCCACATATTGCTCCGTGACTGCTCTTGGTTCATTTTAAACCACAGACTATTTTCTTTCTTCACTGTCTCTCTTACAACCCCTAATGCAACCTTCAGGCTCCCTGTGGAAAAGTAGATATTTATGGTATTTGTTTGCTATTCTTGTTTCATCTGAAGTGAACTCAGAAATTTTATCAGAATACCTTGAAAAATAAATTATGCAATGCTACATACGGATTAGGGAAAAGCATGGTAGTTTCTCTTACCAGCATTAAAATGCTTCCAGTGGTACACTCTGTATCATAAAAACCATTTCATCAGCTCTGATGACTTTAGAAAAACAAAAGCCAAGCACAGCTTTGAGAAGGATTGAAATCAAAATATTTTCAAGTCATATGCTGTGGAATGGGGAATAGATAAATCCCACAAGGGCACAATTTCTGTACTTATTAATCCCATAATTTACTTAAGTTAATAGCTACATATAGTCAAATATTAGTCCTCTCACTGATAAGCAACTCACAATTCAATTTTGTCCTGGGGGCTCACTACCCAGAGTTAAATTGCTGTAGATAAAATCAATCATAGGTAAAATTTAAAATGTCTTTATTGAAAAAAATTCAAAATAAAGATTAGGAAGTAGAATGTATAAAAACTAAATGGAAATTTGTTTCAGTGGTAAAAATTCATGGTACTGATTACAGTAATCACTTTGCTATACCATTGTAAACAGTTTCCATTTATTCGCAGATGTGTTCACAGATTGACCTGTAGAGTAAAATTATGCAGTTCTATGCTTGCTTGTTTCTATGCACTTACTGATTTGTTGTGTATTCACCAGGAAGCCCCCAGCACATCTGTGGCTTTTATAGCATGTTGTGCTAATCAGGGAAGCACTGCTCACTCACCCAAGCTTCTGCCAGGTGCAGTGGTTCAGATCTTCAAAATTTGGAATAAGTTCTTCACACAGCCTTTTTCTTTTGGTCTATCATTTTTTCATCCTTAAGTTGTCTGTATCTGCATGTTTCCTAGATACACACAGGCTCATCTCTCAAAAGAGGGGGTATGGTCATCCATGAGCTGAACAAAGTTGCATCAAACCATGCTCTTGGAGCAGGAGGATTGAGAACCAATTTATGGATGCAGTTTTATTTCATATCTTTGTCAAAAGAAAGGCTATTCAGGCTGAGCACATTTTGCCAAGGGAATTCTGGATTGTCCAGAATTTTTGCACATCTTTCAGCATTATTGAGGGTCAAATACACATCTACTGTATACTGTGGATTCAAATTTTTCTGTGTACATGTTATTGCCAGTACATAATTAAATGTGTAAATAACAGAAAGCTCCCATCACAATTTTAGATTCGCTTGGAAACACACATGGTCAAGCCAGATACCTTTCTTCTGTTAAAACAAACAAACAAACAAACAAACAACTCCAAAGCGACCCATTGTAATAAAAATATTTTCATTAAGGGAATTGGAAGAAACATCACTCTTACAAATGAATAATTGTCTGGTTTAAAATATATGTATTTAGGTTTCCGTGATGCCATCACATTCTTCCTCCCTTCCATTTCATTCTGCACTTCCGTGGAATAAAAATCTGCCAATAATTCCACAGTGAACATCCTAAAATTTCCTCCCTGCTGGAGGGGTGAGTCTCCACAAGTCTCTCCTGGAGTGTTTGCCTTGAGATGGAAGGGTTTTCTGTTTTCTTGTCCTGCTTGCTCAGCCCTGCTTGTCCTTCATGTGCAGAATCTCCCCAGGGTCGCTGGCAGTCATTTTGCAGTTTTACAAACTTGGCAATTGACCTTTCTTTCTAACCCAGGGCAAGGACTGCCACAGTTCCACAGGAGATAAAAAGCCATGTGCAGATCCACGTGTTCAAGAGCAGTGTCACTCCTATATTTCTGCTTGCTCAGGACTCCTCAGTATACAGAGTATATGTATGACAAAACTTTGCTGTTGTTCTGGTCTGTTTATTTCCAGGAATGCAATCCAAAGCGGTCTGAGAACTGATCAGTGCTGCACTTGGCATGAACGTAAGGGCACATCTGTATACCTCAAAATTTAGAAAACTGTGGTGAGTAGATGGTCTTCAGATCTCTGGAGCAACACTTTCTCATCCAGAAACAGTCCCACTCCTCAGTTCCATTTCAGCTGTATGGGCTGGTGGCAATCACTGCTTAATTGGAAGGTCACTGTGCCACCAGCCTGTTCTTTGCCATGGCAAAGAGGCGAAGACCCAACCCGCTAATGAAAATGGGGCAGACTGGCCTATACTTGAAGGGAGAAAGTGCTGAGCCAAACATCTTCAATTTCTGAAGAGACAAAGTATACCTTTGCCAAGCTGTTCTCTAGGGAAAGCAATCCACTTGGTATTTGTGGGGAAAACTGCAGTTGTTAAGGCCTATTTCAACAGTGACAACAGTTGAAATTTAGTAGCACTAGCTATTTACATAATAACCTGTGTTACCTGTATTGAAGAATTTTTTTAATCTGGATACTGGAAAAGACACAATGGAGTCTGATAAGCTCTATTCACAAGACTGAGATCAAATGCTCATCAAGGTATTACAGGTACATTTGATGCTGAATCAAATTAAATCTAGCAGTGGGGTGGTTCTTTGCTTTCTCAGACTAATAACCATGTATTTCTGCTTTGCTTGTCTGAGGGCTATATCTGTGGGTAAATGCCATAAAATAAAATTGCAGTGGTACACTTGTGAAGTGGATATCAATCAATCAGGATAATTAAACCTCTATTCTTCATTCTCCCTCAGTTTTATTTTTAATTTTTTTTTTTCTTTAGATGGATGTAATTGTATAACTGAGACTGTATAATGTGGAGCTTTAGGTGTCTATAATGTGTGTCTTAATTTCAGCTGGAACAGAATTGACTTTCTTCAGCATGTCTGAGTAGATACTGTGTTTTGGTTTTAGGAGAAAAACAGTGAAGGAAACACCAGCATTTGTAGCTGTTGCTGAGCAGAGCTGTACAGAGCCAAGAACATACAGTTTTCCCTGCAATCTTGCCAGTGAGGAATAGATCAAAGATGCTGGGAGTGGGGGACTGAGCCAACAACCACATAGAGCTAAACTACCTGTCAACTTAAACCACAGCACTTCGGAGAAACAAAACCAGCAGCTCCGATGATCAGAGCCAAGCAACCCTAGAATGTGCAAGAAGGTTCAAAGGAAGGAAATTAATGGTGGAAAGGCAGTACTCCTGGTAAGAAATTAGCAACACTTTGATTTCTTGGAGAGAGCTGGAGACTGTCTGTTCCGTTTGTGTGGAAAGGAATAGGTTTCCTTGTTATTCTTCACCTTTTGAGCAGGGTTCTGAGTTATCTTATCTTTGTCCGTGCAAACAATTGAATCATGGATTATTGTAGAGTTAATAGGTATACCATTTCTGGTCACTAGATGGAGGTAGGTAACCAAAATGAGGATGAATTACACGCAAATTTTACCTTTAACACTGTCGTCCTTTGGACTGCAAGGAATCTATTTTATCCTTAGAAATACTTCTCATACCGGCTTGCTTGAGAACAGCACGACATCAGTACTTGCCAAACCATAGGTCTGTATCAAGCAAAATTTATTCACTGCAGTCTGTTTTAAAATAGATATCTATATGCATGATATACATACACATATATATATATGTACATATGGTAACAGTTTGCATAATTTAATCTGAGGTACATTTTATTAGCAGTAATTCACTTCTACATTTAGACAAAGAAGGACATCATTTAGGTCATGTATGTTTATACACATGTTTGCAGAAAATTAATACATGATGTAAGGAGAGAAGAGTGATTTAAGAATATTTATTTAATGCCTACTAGACCTGGAATCAAGTACAAGAAGTGTTATGTATTCCTTTCTTTTTGGTAAGATCCCATTTCATCTTTACAGTTCATGCTACAGCTACTTGTTGCTTAGTTGTTGAAAGGATCAGTTTCTAGGGAGAGTGCAAACAGTCAGAGAAGGAACTCCTTCAAGCACTGAAGACAGCTACAGGGATGTCTTTTAGCCTAGGACTCCTCTGTGCAGACCTGTATGGCTGTGATAGTGAAGGAAGACTTGCTGCTGAAGCTGGTCTTTTGCTTCCTATGAGACAGATGAGAGCTACAGAGTTGCATTCTGAGCTTCTTGGGAAATACAGAGTTTAATTTTCTGATACTGCTCATGAAACTCACAGGCCTCTTTTCTTTAGCTGAAATGACTGTTTAGTAAACATCCTGCCCTTTCAGAAACAGTGTTGAATATACACTGATAGACTAGGTGTATGCGTATTTTTACCATGTTCTTGCTATAGATGGAGATAAGCAGGACTGTGTACTGGTTGCAGAGCCAGGCTTGCTGCATTGATCAGCACAGCTTGTAGGTGCAGTACTGGCAGCACTGTGGTGTGTCATACAGATGACTGACATTGGAAGATGTGCCCCCTTAAAGAGGTGAAGTTGGCTGGTGCTGCTGCAGAGTGTTGTTGGCAAATGAGAGGACAGGATGCAGTGGCATATAAACAGGACTACTGTATTAGGTGAAACTACACATCTGCCTTGCTATGTAGCTCACATCCTGTGTGTGTATGCAATGGTCATTTTGGACAAGATTATAACAGCAGGGCTAGTATACTCTTATACTAGCATAAGATAATTCCTCTTGAACATGGCGGATTGTGGGTTTTGATGAAGATGTATACACATGTGGTCATGACCAATCTCTTCCATTCTTTCCAGTGTTCCATTTTTTATTCTTTTCTTAGTCCTTTTAGCTTTCACAGCATCCTATGGCAGTGAAGTCTATAATTGACTTATTGCTGTATGGAGAACCTCCACATTATGTTTGCTTTCTTCTGATTATCCTTCAGATCTCATATTATAAGAAATCATAATATGTTTTTTCCTATTCCCAGTCTTCATCACATTCATTATTTTTTATGTCTCAGTCACATTCTTTTTTCAGATGCACAGCTCAATGTGGGGAAAGAGGAGGGATGGAGATCGTACCATCAGCAGGGTTCAGTCACACGTTTTTGAAAGTGATTTAATATGCATCTGCTTGATGAGGTGATGTTCATTGGAGATGCTTGTTCTCTGTGTTCTGAAGGACATAAAGTTGCTTACTCTCTTCTCATGTTATAAAAGGTAGTTTGCACTCAGGCTGAATCAGTCTTTGATTAGTAATATATTGCTGCCCAAATTTGAAACTCAGAATGACAAACTTTTTGAGCCCTATTTCTCACAATGATGTGTAGAGTGCTGCTGCCAAGCAGAACAATTTGCAAGTGCCCAGAGTCTTCCTGGGGAGAGGATTTGTCTGCTCTTCCTCCTATGTGAGACTTAAGGCCTTCTTCTGCTCCCTTATGACCAGTATATCCAGAGAATTTATCTCAGTAGCTAGCACCATCTGCCTAGGATCTCTTGAAGATCTCTGGATGTTGAAATTTTTTTTCTCTTAGGGTTTGTCTTTGAAATTCATTTTTAATTCCTTGTTTGTTGGTGCAGGAGAGTCAGTTGAGCTAATAAGTTTTACTCAAGGGTTTATTATCTACAATAGTCTACCTCTCTTTTTACTCCTCCAGCTTTTGTTTGATGCTTTCATTTGACTCTTTCTTCCCTTTTTGTTACATCTTTGTCATCCCTCAGCATCCTGTAAGTGAAGTAGGACAATTCCATCCACACAGTAAAAGCACATGTACAGAGGGAGCATAGAATCATGGAATCATCTAGGTAAGAAAAGACCTTTAAGATCACCAAGTCCAGCCATCAACCTGAGCTATGAAGACCCATCGCTAAACCATGTCCCTTCATTCCACATCTTCATATCTCTGTGTCTTCAGCCTGGTGCTGCAGAAACTCTAATGCTTGGTAGGAGAAACACTGACAGTAATGCACTGCTTTCATTCCAATAGGAAGGATGTTCATCATACATCTGGTGTAATGTCTCAGAGGATTTGGCTGAGATATTTTACTGATTGCAATGTGTTCACAAGGCTTCCTTCACAGTGCTGGAACAGTCCACCTGTCACAATGATGAAACAATGCATGTTTATTTAGTTCTTGGCAGCTGGAATCCTATCAGGATTCTTGAACTTGAAAACTACGATTTTTTCAGTTAAAAAAAAAAAGGTTTTCTTGAAGAATGTGGATTGACTGAACTCTTCTAGTAGGACTTAGTTAGCTGGGAAAAATTTACCCCTACAAATAATCAACAACTGCAAAGCATATGAGTCTACTGAAATGTAAATGAACTCATTATCGATTTCTACGAGCTTCTATTTAAGATTTGAAAGAAAAAATGACCCACACATAACAGTACAAGAATGAATTGCATAATTATGTTTGTTAACTAGCTCCTCTCTGCAAAGCTATCTGAGGTCCAGATATTTGCAGTGTCTTGAAAAAAGGTCCTGCAAAGAGTAAAATATGTTAATACTCAGCAGTGATGTAGACTCTCCACTGCTGTCTCCCAGGTGGAAATTCTTTGGAGCTACCAAAGGATACAAAGCATAGACTTTTATGACTGTAAGCATGGTCTTCATGCCAAATATGATGACCATGTATACAGTCATAAAAGAATAAATAATCACTAGGATACTCTGAGCATTATTGAGGCATAGGCAAAAATTATTGAACTTCTCAATTCCATGAGCTCATTTATTTCCTTTTTTTTATGTCACTTTCTCTATTTCTGTGGCTGTTAATAAAGTAAATAAATGCTAGAACCTGTGAAAGTACATCTAGTATATTTTGCATATTTCAAGACTCTCTGCCAGAAAGTGTTTTTGTTGCTATGTGTGAATTCCAGACTAATCCAAGAATGGACTCCACAGAGGAAAGTCTTTGGAGGCTTTACTGTGTGAGGCTTGAGATTCAACCAAAGTCAGCTAGCACGTCATCACTGTTGTCAATAGCTCTGTGCAGAATTTCTAGTGTACCCGGCTTTTCTCATTTAACATAGTATGGGATTAGACAAACACACAAGAAATTCTACACAGGGCTATATAGTGCTCTGTTTTAACTGTATTTTCTAAGTTATTTAAGAAACTGTAGCTGTGTCAAAACACAGTAGATACCAGGATGTCCTCTTTTGTTGCAAGAAGCAAGTGTAGTGCAAAGGGAGACCAAGTAAAAAGCTGGGGAGGGAGAGGAAAACCAAAAATGGAAAAAATAGTATCATTGCTTTCAATCAGAGCAATATTTAAAAAGAAATGCCATGGAAAAACATTCTACTAGATTTTGTCTTAACATTTTAATGTTTATTTTAGAGTAAACATTCAGTAATCACTTTCTTTCTGTCTTGGCATCAAGTTATTGCCCTTACTTTTTTTTTTTTACTTTTTTTTTTTTTTTTACTGGAGCATTGCACTCTTGACAGGATCCAGCATTTTCCATCAAACTTAGCTCAATCACAAACTTTTCTTTTGTTGCTTTCCTTTCTATCTCAGTAGTTATTCCCAGTCATGCCTGATCAAAAATTTGCCTTCATATTAAAATTTCAGTTTCACCTAAGCATCTTAAAACATTGTCTCTTGTCCTTTTAAGATTACTTCATTACTTTCATATGTAGTGTATACATTATAGTTTTGTATGTTTTATATATTAGATGTCTATTGAGTATACTTTGTTACTCATATTTTCCCATTTGCCTTTTCTTGAAAACTTATATAAATTTGCTTAGGTAAGAATTTTAAGACATTTTTGAGAGATAGACATAATGTCAGTGCCTTCAATTTTATTTAACTCGTTAGCTAGTTTTGCTAATTGCTTCATGTTTTTAACAAGAGACTGTACTTTGCTCTTGTACTAGCAGCTGTCCTGTTGACCTTTTTCTTGTTTGGTTGTACTTCAGCTTTGCATTTGTATTTTCTGTAAAATTCCACTTGCTATTTGGCTTCTGATATTTATGTGAGGATATTTCTGCTCCTTTGAGGGCATATGAGCTTCCTTGAGGGCCCAATTAACATTTTTTTCTTGAACTGTAGGTTAGGTTGGCATATGAACATTGCCACTAGATTTCTGTAAATCATTTCACTTTCCATTCTTATTAATATAGCAAAAAAAATGAGTCCTGTATGATTTCTAAAACAAAAGTCTAATACTTCAAAATGCAAATTTTGGGAGGGATAGTACACTCTACATACCCAGAACAGTTCATCTCTGGTATCTGTGTTGGAACCCAGATCTTGTGAATTCCAGTTCCTGGATCTTCTGCTGA